AATCATGTTTCTTTTTAGTCACCTTCTAATATGGTAACTACAAGCCTCCGCTCAGTTCAACCTTCCACATGGACACCAGTGAAAAGCTGGGTTTAGCAGTGATGCATTCATTGACCAGGAAAATAAATTGGATTTTTAGATTTTAGAGTAGCTGACGTCGATCAAGCCGATCAAACTACATATCGCACGATTTTGGTCACCAGCTGTGCATTCCTAAACGTTGTTTCATGGAAACAGCTTCTTTTTTTTTTAACAACAATCAACAACTTTAATTTGTTGTTTTGAAAGATATACTCAAACAAACTGGCCTGCATGTGGCATCTGCTACAAAAAAAAAGAAAACACACACATGTCAAAAACAGGAAACAAGACATGGAGCATGTGCGTGAAGGGAACATGCAGAGTGTGAAACGTAAGCTGAAGCAGAAGATGCTCTCTGGGTTGTAGGTTAAATTAGATCTTCAAGACTTTTTTTCCAATCTGGATCCAATTGTCCAAAACTACTGTTTTAGGACATGTGGACACAAGGCTGCAAGGCTGTTCACAAAAAAAATGTTACAATGTGGACACACCCTGGAGTCTGCCGTCTTGATCCACATCTGAGTGAAGAAAAGAAGGTACGTACAGGAAGACAAAGTCAGGGAGGAAGAGGAGCAACAGATTCAACTCTAGTCCAGAAGAAGAGACTAAGTGGTGTGAACGTGATTTGTTGATGGTGCCGAGATGGGCTTTTAAACTTACAAATACTGTTAGTCACCGTTGTACTAACCTGTCACCAAAACACAAAAGAAAACTCATAACAGGACCTTTAAAAAAAACACAGAAATCCCTGGATCACTGGTTTTTAAACAAAAAGGTTATAACAGTCATAAAAACACCTAAACCAGCTATATCTGGGTAAAACGTAACTTCCTCTACTCTCTCTGGATAAATGTTCTGGTGAAACAAATCCTCAAAAGAAGAATTTAGTCACCATGAAATTTTGCTTTGAAACGGTACTAGAGTCGCCCTGACAGAAAGGAAGACGGGCGGGAGAATCTGAACTGTGTCCAAACGTCACGCTGCCTGTATACGATGTACAACATAATCTGAATATGGTGTGGAGCGTCTGCAGTTGGCACACAAAAAACAAGGGAGTTTACAATCTGATCATCTTTGTAGCTTCAACTCAGTTCTATATGAAAAGGGTCGAAAAATTCCCTTGTTTTGGCTATAAAAACAAATAAACACTTAACAGAAAAGTTCTGTTTTCATCACCGCTTCTACAATCTTTGCTACTGTTTTTTTCTCCGTTATCAGAAAGTACAGTTGATTTCAACCCCTGCTAACGTCAGGTGTCTGACAGAGTGAATTTTAATAAATATGTGTTGACTTTTAAGATCACAGCTTCATGCAAAAACCTGAAAAGTTTATCAATAAGGGCACATTTAATTTTTTCCCCCAAATATAAAAGAGGAAGCTTTAAAGCAGTTAAAAATAGTGGTCTGGTCAAGGGCGCTCATATAGAATTAATTGTGACATAAACAAATAATTGGTCACTATTACTTGTGTGAATATTGATGGTCAGCATTAATTTAAAAAACATGACAGATTTAACAGTGAAGTGCACTTTAACGGAATATTCTATCATGCCTAAATGAATTGTTTTGTAGTGAGCAAACTAAAAACAACAAGCAGTTTAATAAAGGTTGCAGCCATTCAGATTTTTATGAATCTACCAGATTATAGTTCTCTAGCAGATCTTGACATCCAAACAAAGGTTTCGTTTCAAGAGCCTTGCAGCATCTAATTCAGAGGTGTCCACAGAAAGGCCTGTGGGCCACTTGTGGCCCTTGCAGTGATTTTGTGAGGCCCACGGCAGCAGTTTGTCTCTGTTGTCCATTGTTGCCATCATTCTTTGTTGAAATCAGGTCTCTCTTGTAAATGAGTCCTCGAGGCTCATGGGATTTACCTGGCTAAATAAAGGTTGAATGAATGAATGAATTTAAGAATGATATCACGTTGACCCGCAAATTTAAAGAGGCTGATGCAGATGAAGATCTGCAACTTTAATAGTAATAATAACTTATAAATAAATTTTGGGTTTAACAGAAACTATGAGAAAAAACATTTTTGAAATGTGCAATATTAGATCCAATACTAACCTTTAGCTAAAATTAATTATTTTATTCATTTATTTTTGTATAGTTTCATGACGCAGAGTACCACAAACCTTTAGACCAGGGGTGCCCAAAGTGGGGCCCGCGGGCCAAAGTTGGCCCGCCAAGCTGCCCTCATGACTATATTAAAATTTCCTTTGAAGAATCAATGTGTCTCATTGACTCCACCCATTAACTTTATTTTTAGTCGGCCTGACTACCATAATTTAACTACACGGATTGCATAGAAGAGTAGATAATTTATGTATTTTTTGAATAATTTTAATTTATATTTTTATATTTCATTTTGACAGACTTTCTACCATCCCTCGGCAGTTTCTTGCCACTGAATTACATTTTCCTTTGACAGAAGACACTTATAAATCACAAAGTGTTTAAAAGTAAATTGTAAATATGAATTGGTTTCAGTGGTGATTTGAGTCTCTTTAAATTTAAACTCAGCACCCCTGGAAAAATAAAGAAATCATTAGGATTGTGTAAGGAAACAGTTATCAACCCTTAGATTAACTAAAATATTGAATAAAATATAAATAAAAAATATTCCATAAAAAATATGGAATAAATGACAACAGTCTCAAACGGGCCAATAATTTTGTTTTATTTTTTTGCACGAGTCCCGCCACCTGTCAATCAATCCAGTAGGCATGTCAGCAGCTGACCAATCAGTAACCTCGATTTGTCCTGAAATGAACACCCCTTACCTGCAGAGCTGCAGCTGTGTTGCATTACGAACGCTTTGCAGTCAGAGAGATTTCAATAATAAGAGAGTTTACATGTTTTGTTTCATATTAATCTACTATAATAAACTTTTGTAAAATACACCAGAATGCAGGAAATGGCATCTACTTTAATCAAAATTTTCTGGGGGAGGACCCCCCACCACCTCCAACAACAACAACAACGCAGCCTGTTCTGTGATGTTCTTTATACAGAATGGAAGGATAAATAACTGTATAGTAAATAAATTATCTTTAAAGAAGTATTTGCATTTCATGTATTATTGCATTTGGCCCGCAGCCCTCTGATAAGATTTTAAATTTGGCCCTCTCAGGGAAAAAGTTTGGGCACCCCTGCTTTAGACTTTTACCAGAAAGTAAACTTTTGTATAATCATTTAAAAACTTGGCTAAATATAACAAGTGTTGTCAAATAAAATAAGGAGTGGCTGGTTTTGCACTTCTGTCTCTAAGAATAGACTAAATGTACTTTCCAAGTACAAAACAAAAAACAATAGACCCAACAAATCAAAGGAATTGAAATATATATATATTTTTTTTTTTAACAAAGTTAATGATGAGGCTTTCTATGTTTTGGATCTATAACAATTTAGAAACCTTTCTCCACCAAAATCAGGATACTTTTTGTGCGTTGTGCAAACAGAAAAAGTGCTTTTTTAATGTCAAATTCAAATTTTTGTGACCCAAGAGTACTTTCATTTTACATTGTTAGAAAAATAACAAGTTATCTCCTAAAGCAACATCTAATTATGCAAAGATGCTTTAAAAGTCTATAGATTGTGTTTTTGTTGGCATGATTTTAAGCAGATTGACAAACATTTTGCACACAAGAAAGTGCTTATTGTGACAAAGAATGAAAAAAGCACAGTAAAAAATGTGTTATTTAAAAAGTGCTCAAGCATTTCCTTGTCAATGCACAAACAAATCATGGTTGGGATAAATTTATAGCTATCTTGCCTTTAAAACATTCTGACAATTTGTTTTTCTTAATCAGGTCAGGGTGAAGATGCAATATACCCAAGAACAGCTTTGAATTAGTCAGTAGTGAAGAACTGGGCACAGTTCGAGACTACTGAGGCTCGTCCCTTAATTTCCTTGCCTTTCTTTTCTTTTCTTTTCTTATTTTTTTGTCAAAGCCCTCCTCCCCCATTGCGCTGACTTTAAGTCTCCTTCCACACCACACCCATGACCCCCAATGTGCAGACACGAGGTCAAGCTCCAAAGATCACAGAGAGGAGCCAGACGAAAGACAGAGACCTAAAATCCTCCTTTCCTCCCAAAACCAGACCAAAAACCTCAAGCCATCCCACCAGCTCCAGAAGCCCCCCCCCCCCCCCCCCCCCTAGCCTGGTTGTGTGTAAAAGAGCCGGTGAGCACTCTTGCAGAAACATCAGCCCAGGGAAATTCAAATGAGGACGAAATGGTGAGGGAGACAGAAAGAAAGGGAGAGTGAGGAGCACAATAGTGAGAAAATAGGATAAAAGAATGAGATGGGAGAGTGTTAGGTGTTAGGTAGGAGGAGGAGGAGGGAGAGCTGAGGAGGTGCTGCAGAGGTTGCTGAGGCTGCAGGTTAAGATAATGTGCAGATCTGAAGAGATTTGCAGGGAACATTTTTATTCCATTTCTGATTACTCTCATCTCTTCCCTCCTCCCGTGTATTTGTTTGTTTTTGGCATTAACGTTATGACTGTTGGTCTCCACGTGGATGTACACATGCATGCTGATTAGACCTGGAATATTTTAGAAACACAAGTATTCACACACAGTACACAAACACACACACACACACGTTACCGCACACAGACATTCTTAAAGATGCATCAGAGAGGAGGGCGGCTGGGCAGACGGTGCCAGAAATGCTAGGAGCTTACAAGTTTGTAAACATGCCGACACAGACGGTGCACATACAAACATGCAATCACACAGATTGTTCACAGGCAGGGTATTGCTGCACCTGCTTCTTATCAACGTGCAGCAGGTAGGCTAAGTGCTCCGAATCATTTAGATTGCAAAAAAATACTCAGGTTTCATTGTTCTGGTGTTTAAATGCACAAAAATTGTTGCCCAGCGAACAGTACAGACAGTAAACAGCAACAAACGCCCACCTGTTCTGTTGTAAGAACCTCCTTTCAGGTTGAGTGAGATAGAGTCGTCTCCATCCAGCAACCCTTGACCCAGTATCATCCAGTTCTCCAGCTCATCTGAATCCGATGAACCTGATGATTCAGACTCTGACCCAAGATTCAAGTCAGACTCGGGAGTCGAGTCAGACTCGGGAGTCGAGTCAGACTCAGACTTGAGTTTGGATTCTGAAGATGCTGAACTGCTGGAGGCAATGGTCATTGGCACGATGGGACTTCTTTTTCTGTTCTGGGTTTTCTAGATGACAAAACAAACATAGTAAATCAAAGTTTTTATTTGCTTTCTCAAAGCAACTTAATGTCAAGTTTAAAGTGAGAAGACAGACAAGTCATCTAGTTTAAAATTACCTAACACATCTGGCTGCTAGTCTTTCATTTGGACTGCTGGATGCTCTGCAGATCAAGCTAAAGGCTGAATAATAATAATAATAATAATAATAATAATAATAATAATAATAATAATAGTGTCTGTTGGAGACTCAATATGTAAAAATTGCAAAGAAATACACAAGTTTTCCATCTTCCACTGACCTCCGAGTGTTTGCAATTAACTGGTCAACAAGTCATATTCTGAATAGACAGCTTTTGAAAACCACAGCCCAGTCTTGTGTGCACAGCTTACTAAACTGCACTCTTGGCTGTACACATTATTTTGCAGTTTACCTTCACCCACCTTGACAGTTACCCCCACCTAAACCTGCTGGAGTATACTTCTGAAGTGAAGGTGGTCAGATTTTGGCCAGTCTTATTTTTTATTTATCAGCAGGGTTTATAGACTTGGACATTTGCCCCTGGCATTTTCTGTCAAAAGAGAAGTCTGCACGTGTCAAAACACAGCTCTAGCACTTAAAACGAGTAGAGACAACATTGTGACTATTTTGATGAAAAATTTGTTGCCCAACTATTCAGAACATGTCCAAAACTCAAGCTATGGGATAGCACACTGCTGCAACTTGCATGAGAAAATTGAGAACGATCAGCAATGTCTTGAGACGTTCTGGAGACTCCCACATGACTTTGACCAACTAATCACAGCCCAGTAAGACACGACCCGTAACAACAGTCAGTAAACTTGAATGAGCCAGCTACAACAAGCAAATACTAGCACAATAGATTTAAAGTAAAAAAAAAACACCTGGCATATGACAAAAGGTGGACGACAATGGACCTGAAGATCTTAATAAGCAAGAACATAAAAACTGGCGCAGTCTGACCTTAAATAGAAAATTCTGTCCTAAAATCTCTTCAGCAGCTGACCTGAAGCCCTGCTGTTTGTGTGAGTTGTGATTTTATTGAATAGAAAAGTCAGGAGCTCATTTATGTCTATAGCGAGTGATATTATTTACTTGTGAATATCATTGTAATGAACACTGAATTTTATTTTTGTTTTCCCAGATTAAAGTTGACCAAAAAAGCAATATTTTGGATTGTAGCTAAAAATCATCAAGTCAACATGGAGTCGGGCAGTACATGTTTTTTATTTCCCTTAAACCTCCCCTCAAATTATAGCACTTTCAAGAAAAGGCTTGGAGTGTTGCTTTACCGCTGCATCTAACTTATGACAATTGATGTGTTTCTAATATTTTATAACCCTTCTTTAAGGATTAAAGATGTAACAACAATATTTTTTTCAATGTTATTGCATAATAAAACAAAGCAATTTAAACAACAACATAAAAATAATTTTTATATTTATTTTATAAAATGGATGTATGTGTAGTGTTTCCCCTAGACAACTTGCCATGGCGGGGCGCTCATCTCGTTCATGATTTTTGTCAGGGGGCTGGGGGAGTGGGGGGAGATTAACGGAGACACGTCCTGAGCTGCACAGCATCCTGTTTATACTGACACTTTGGGGAGGGGGGGGGGGGGACACAGAGATACAGCCGCACATGTTTGAACCGGCAGTTTTGGAGCAGGGCAGAGGACAGACATTCATTCAACCTTTATTTAGACAGGTTAATCCCATTGAGCCTCGAGGACTCATTTACAAGAGAGACCTGATTTCAACAAAGAATGATAACAACAATGGACAATCATAAAAAAGGCATAGTTTTTTTTATTGTTTTTTTTTTTTTTACAAATTAAATTAAAATGGCCAAAAAAGTAACAAAAAACAGCTAGATTCTAAGGCGAATGTAGAAAACTAACAACAGGAACATGTCTACATTGGTCCCTGCCAGGAGTCCAACAGATTCTTAAAGCCACTTAGAGAGGTCAAGGTCGAGAGCTTCAAATCTTTTTGTAAGATATTCCAGGAAACAGGAGCGGAGTAGGAGAAGGCCCTTTTGCCTAGTTCAGTCTTCACTGAGGGAACACTGCAGGTAATAATGTCCTGAGAGCACACGCTGTAGCTGCACTCACACAGAGACATGTAGGAGGAGATGTATGAAGGCAGCAGACCAAGAAGTGATTTAAAGATGAAAATGTACCAGTGGGAGAGTCTGCGTGAAGTTAATGATGACCAGTTAACCAGTGAATACAGGGTGCAGTGGTGGGTACGATAATCACAGCCAGTTATGAATCTTAGTGCACCATGATAGACAGCATCCAACATCTGCAGGGTTCTTGTAGGAGCGTTCATGTAAATAATGTCACTGTAATCAATGGAGGGAAAGAAGGTCACAGATACAAGGCGTTTCCTAGCGTTCACATACACATCTCAGCCGCATGCTGTCTGTGCCGACAAGTTTTTGAGTGGGCAGGGGGGTGTCGTGTCAGTGTGTGTGTGTGGGGGGGGGGGGGGGGTTTCGACTGACGGGGCGCTCGGCTCTGTTGACGGGGCAGTGCGCCCCACTTGTATAATGGTAGGGGAACCAGTGCCCCCACCCACTCGAAAACTGTCTGTAAAAACAGCGCACGGCTCAGATGTGTGTCTGTTTCTCCCCACCACCACCCCGTGCTCCAAAACTGTAAAACTACCAGTGCAAACAGCACATCGCTGTGTCTCTGTCCCCCAACCCCCACCCACTGTAATTGTAGAACTCTAGGTGCAAACAGCGCTCGGCTCAGATGTGTCTGTCCCCCACCCCGCTCTTAAACTGTTGGTATAAACAGCGCGCTGCGGACAAGATAAGCGTCCCGCCATGGCAAGTTGTCTAGGGGAAACACTGCTACCATATTATTGGTCCACCCCTAGCGAGCTCCAAAATCAACTTTATAAACAACAAATGCCAAAAAGGTGTCGCTCAGTTAATAAAATGCAGCTGGACCTTTTATTGCTTTATATTTGCTGCTTCTCCGTGCACCATGGAGGAAGTTGAAGTTGTACCAAATAGCTCTAGACTTCAGTAAATGAACAATTATTGTTTTGCAGTAGGAGAGCTGTTACAAAGGATGTGCAGATCATTAATAGTTGTGTAAAAGACAAACTAAAACAACGCAGAAGAACTTAAGCTTCCAGTTTACTGCCGCGTATGTCTGTTCACGCGTACGTACGCGTGTACTGTACGCAGAGGGTTCAGTCATGGTACTCCAGCGTACACCCCGAGCAGCTGCAGAGCAGCTTCACAGACAAGGGGCGTTAACCTTCAGGACAAATTGAGGTCGCCGATTGGTCATTTGCTGACACGCCTACTGAATTGATTGACAAGTCGGAAAAAAGACAAAAAGCAAGCACTGGCAACCTCTGCCGCAGCAATGTTCTTTGTTTATATGTTGTTAATAAAAAGATCTAAAAAATAAAAAAAGACAGGGAGCGCTGGCTCTGCAGCCCACACTTCAGACCAGCCCACCAGGACATCCAGACCCTCCCGCAGCCACGCTGGACCTGAGTTTAATTCGCTCGTGACAAATTCCTTCATTTCTCACCATTTCAGTCATGGCATCAACAGAGGAGGAAGAGATCGCTGCCTCTTGGCAAAAAAACAAAAGAAAATGTCAGATCAGGGATGAAGAAGGGGAATTTATTAAATTGGTGTCACATACAAAACAGTCCATCGCCGGGCAGTTTATTGTGCGACACCGCGTATGCGGTCGTAAAAATTTGAGCTTTGCACGGACATGCCCTGGGGGGTACGCTCGTACCTTTGCGTACGTACGTGCGTACCTCTGCGTATGGATGTACGCGGCAGTATACTGGGGGCTTAATTGAGCAAAAACACATCCTGAGGAACCTACAAGAAGAAGCAAATTTGGTGAAGCTGCATATGGAAGCCATTATGGCTCATAAATCAAATTAAAATGGATTAATAGAATTGCTTTTTCATTTCAAAGTCAAGCTGCATTTTTGGACTCATAAATAAAATGAAAAATAAATAATTTTCATTTTCTTCTTCAAGACTGCGCATTGTGTAATTTTGCTCATTGTGTAGACTCTCTCACTGGTACATTTTCATCTTTAAATCACTTCTTGGTCTGCTGCCTTCATACATCTCCTCCTACATGTCTCTCTGTGAGTGCAGCTACGGCGTGCGCTCTCAGGACATTATTACCTGCAGTGTTCCCTCAGTGAGGACTGAACTAGGCAAAAGGGCCTTCTCCTACTCCGCTCCTGTTTCCTGGAATATCTTACAAAAAGATCTGAAGCTCTCGACCTTGACCTCTCTAAGTGGCTTTTAGAATCTGTTGGACTCCTGGCAGGGACCAATGCAGACATGTTCCTGTTTTTAGTTTTCTACATTCGCCTTAGAATCTAGCTGTTTTTTGTTACTTTTCTTTTTTTTTAGCCATCCTATCTGTTAAAAAAATTTTTTTAAAAAATTGTATGACTTTTTATAACTATTTATTATTGTCGCTGTTGTCCATTGTTGTCATCATTCTTTGTTGAAATCAGGTCTCTCTTGTAAATGAGTCCTCCAAGCTTAATGGGATTTACCTGTATAAATAAAGGTTGAATGAAAAAATATTACTTATAGTATTTACAATATTTACTTTATTCTCATCACTGTGATAAAGAGATTAATCTGATTGAGTCTTTTGGGAGAGGGGAGTAGCGAGGGATTGGGGGAGTCTCTGATTGGCTAGGAAGTAAGAAGTGGGGTCTTTGAGGAAAATGGGATGGGAACCGAACCACTGCTTTAAAGTATAATTTCACTTCAAGTTCATATTACAATCTTGCCATAAAATGATGCTGCAGCAAGAGGAAATGCAGCTCCCAGGTGAGTAGCAGAGCAGTAAACAGTGCTGTCGTGTTGCAGTCTGGGAGACCATAAAACCCCCAACATTTACGTAACATTTGGAATTAGTGTTGCTCAACTCGCCTCAGCATGTATCTTCACCATACAGCAAACATCAAAACGCAGCGTTGCAGCCAACTTCATTACATGCTTGTTGCAGAGCGTAGCCAAGCTAAACATCAGTCTGTGGCTGCTTTTAGTGTTTCAAACAGGAAGTCAGGAAAAGGCAAATAAACTTTGTTGCTTCATGATCGACATATTTAAAATAAACTTGATGAATGTAACTAGGTACTTAATCTCACTCTGTCTTTTACCTGTTGTGACGGAGTTGAAGTCTGGATTTTGCGTGAACCTTGACCCTTGAGGGCACAGATCCCCTCATCCGAAGATTCGTCATCAGAGATTGAGATGACATCAGGACCGGAGTCGATCACAATAACCTCCTCAAAATCTACCAGTAATGGTGATGATTTCTGATGTGTGGCGCGAGTTTTATTCTTCTGTTTCTTCTTTTTGTTTTGCTGGAGGCTGTCGTCATTCGATGACGAATGCTTACTGCCTTTTTGTAAAAGCATTTGACTTCCACCCTCTCCAGCTGCTTCGAGCATGTCATGTTGCTGGTTTTCCAGACTTGGTCTGTCATTCTTTTCTTCATTATCCACCAGTTCCTCCAAATCTGCAGCATTGGAAGAGTAGTGGAGCTGGCTGTAGAGACGAAACTCCAGTTCACTGAAGCTAAGTGAATCTTCAGAGCTTGCATCACCATAGAGCTTCTCCTCCCACTCTTCGCGGGTCTCGTAGCCACCATGCATCCTCTCAGAGCAGGTTTAAATCATAAAAATGACCCACACAAACACTCCCAGCTGAGGAGTCAGAGGCCCCCAACAGCTAAAGCTGGCTGCAAAGACAAAAACAGAGAAAACAAACACATTAAAGCAATCGGAGTGAGTAAATTCCTATTATATCACAAGTATCCCAAAGGAATCAGCTTAACAAAAAGATCAACCTTAATACAGCTTAAATACATGCACCATTATTTAGTAATCGATGACACTAGGATGAGTTTTGTTATGTTTGACTCGATTCAAGTTCTAATGATAAGACTCTTTCGGAGCTGGCAACAGGTCTGATCTCTATGTAGTCACGCTACCTTAGAGGTTTGATCAATTAATGGTGGGTCTCAGTTTGGGCCAAGGTTCAGCACTTACAGAAACTGTTTCCCTGCAGCACTTGTGATGTAAACACAAACACAGAACACAGTGACAGGTGACAATGAAGCCAGATAAATTCAATTCAATTCAGTTTATTTATATAGTGCCAAGTCACAACACAAGTCACCTCAGGGCACTGAACAGAAACATTCATATACATAAAAATTAAGTTAATAACATTATTTATTTGAAGAGCAGACTAAAGTGAAAAGATTTGCTTTGACAGTTGTTATTATTACTGAAAAAACAGGGGAATGTTCTTTATCAATTATCAGTTGTTTAACAAGATTAAAGAATATTTTTTATTGAACGTCAGAGGCTACTACACAAGCACATCCTTCTTGGGCTACAGCCAGGCAACTAGGACACAAACAGTGTGGTTCTAAGAAAAATAAATCCAACGTTTCTGGTCTTTGGCATTAAAACTAACTTCATGTAGTGACCAAGATCTCACTCATACCATGTCTGTCACTGTCCCCATTTCAGACATGTGAATGCAAAAAAACATTAAAAGTATGGTGCACCGATTGCAGTTTTCTGGCCGATCACAAATTTCTAAAAAGTCTGACCTGCCGATTCAGATTTTGTCCGATCCTGATTTTGTTTTATAAGTGACACTGTCAGGTGTTATAGTCACAATGCACCTTCAATTTTCCAGTCATATTTTATTGAAAAACATACCCTTGAACAATATCCTAGAAACAATTTGAACTTGTTTTAACTGGCCATGTGGTAGTGCTCTGAAATATAAATGAAGTTCAGACAATTGTTGTTAAAACTAAAAAAAATTGTTAACATTGGTTTCTCATGCAAGTATTGGCCGATCTCCCAAAATTAAGGAAATAGGGGCCGATAAATCGTCCGGCTGATTTATCGATGCACTCCTAATTAAAAGCTCTGTAGATCAAAGTGACATCCTGGGAAATAGAGGGAGCAATTTTATCCCCCACCAGGTGCAATGGTGGAGCTAGGGGGTGGCCAGTGGTGGCCTTGGCCATCATAGATTAGGCTTGAGCCACCCCAATTATTTGAGAAAACTATACTTTTAAACAATATAAAAAAGAGAACGCACAGCTTCCTCAAATGATTGGTGTGAATTTAAATATATACATATGTACCTCTGTCTTTACGTGCATTACTGGTTTACTATATTATAATCCTTCATTTAACAGTCATTGCGATCTGAATGGCATGTCAGTAAGATATTACAACCATTCCAGTTTGATACAATGATTTTGATGCAACTGTAAAAAGAGAAGAGACAAATAGAAGAGTTTATGTTTTGTCACTGCTCAGGGTGAGACCTTTGAATATTACTGTGGATAGTGATGTTTTGATCTTCTTCCTGACGCCTTGCAGTTGGCCCCGTTTGGCTGGTAACACTATGCGCTGAGATAGGAGAATGGGGGGGGAACCCTAATAGGAGAATCTATAAAACTAACAACTTTAGTTGGTGTAGACTTGCTGTATTCTGGCTGTTTCACCGAAGCTTTACACTAGTAAAAATTTGATGAAGTCCACACCTGATCATTTGTTTATTCATTTTATATATCCACTCATTCATTCATTCAACCTTTATTTATAAAGGTTAGTATCACTGAGTCATGAGTACTCATTTACAAGAGAGACCTGTTTTAAACAAAACCACGATAAGGCACGCACAGCAATAACCAGTCATAAAAAAATGTATAAAATGAAAACTATAAAAAAGAAATTATATAAAACAAAATTTAAAAAAATTACATTATAAAACCTAAAAAAAGTTAAATCTGGTCCTCTGGACATTCAAAAAACAAAAAGCAAAACAAAAAAAAAAATGTATATATAAAATGCTGTGATTGCTAGTATCACTCAGCCCTCTGTGAACAGTAAACAGCCATCAGTGTGCTAATGATCCATTGTTAGGCTGATGGTCCTTCTTGAGCATGTGAGCAGCTGGTTTTGGTTGTCAGCAGCAAACTGGTTGATCCACTCTGAGAAGGTGCTATTTAAGAGACTGAGCTGAATACAGCACCTCAGACTGAGGAAGTCTCTCGGATGAGAGACGAAACGTTTCTATTTTGTTGCTTTGTTTTTTTGTTTTTTTTAATGTCCAGAGGACCAGATTGAACTTTTTTCAATGTTAATATTTGTACAGTAGCCTTTGTTTGCAATTACAGAGGTCAAATGTTTCCTGTAGTTTTTCACCAGGTTCACTGCAGCAGAGATTTTGGTCCATTCCTCCACAGATCTTCTCTAGATCAGCCAGGATTCTGAGCTGTCGCTGAGAAACATGGAGTTTGAGCTCCCTCCAAAGATTTTCTATTGGGTTTATGTCTGGAGACTGGCTAGGCCACTCCAGAACCTTGATATGCTTCTTACGGAGCCACTCCTTGGTTCTCCTGGCTGTGTGCTTCGGGTCATTGTCATGTTGGAAGACCCAGCCACGACCCATCTCCAATGCTCTAACTGAGGGAAGGAGGTTGTTCCCCACAATCTCACAATACATGGCCCCGGTCATCCTCTCCTTAATACAGTGCAGTCTTCCTGTCCCATGTGCAGAAAAACACCCCAAAGCATGATGCTTCCACCCCCATGCTTCACAGTAGGGATGGTGTTTTTGGGATGGTACTCATCATTCTTCGTCCTCCAAACACAGCGAGTAGAATTAAGACCAAAAAGTTCTATTTTGGTCTCATCTGACCACATAACTTTCTCCCATGACTCCTCTGGATCATCCAAATGGTCATGGGCAAACTTCAGACGGGCCTGGACGTGTGCTGATTTAAGCAGGGGAACCTTCCGTGCCATGCATGACTTTAAACTATGACGTCTTAGTGTATTACCCACAGTAACCATGGAACCAGTGGTGCCAGCTCTCTTCAGGTTATTGACCAGCTCCTCCCATGTAGTTCTGGGCTGATTCCTCACCTTTCTTAGGATCATTGATACGCCACGAGGTGAGATCTTGCATGGAGCCCCAGTCAGAGGGTGATTGACAGTCATGTTTAGCTTCTTCCATTTTCTAATAATTGCTTCAACAGTTGATCTTTTTTCACCAAGCTGCTTGGCAATTGCCCCATAGCCCTTTCCAGCCTTGTGGAGGTCTACAATTTTGTCTCTGGTGTCTTTGGACAGCTCTTTGGTCTTAGCCATGTTAGTAGTTGGAGTCTTACTGATTGTGTGGGGTGGACAGGTGTCTTTATGCAGCTAACAACCTCAAACAGGTGCTTCTAATTTAGAATAATCAGTGGAGTGGAGGTGGACGTTATAGAGGAGGACTAACAGGTCTTTGAGGGCCAGAACTGATTGGCAGGTGTTCAAATACTTATTTGCAGCAATAACACACAAATAAATTATTAAAAAATCATACAATGTGATATCCAGATTTTTTTTTTTTTTTTTTTAGATTATGTCTCTCACAGTGGACATGCACCTAAGATGAACATTTCGGACCCCTCCATGATTTCTACGTGGGAGAACTTGCAAAGTCGCAGGGTGTTCAAATACTTATTTTACTCACTGTACATCCAGTGATTACAGTAGCGTTCATTAAAATCCACCAAGTGGTTCATAAGATATTTTGCTAAAAAAAAATATATATATATATATTAAAAACAGACAAGAATCCAAATAGTTCATGGCAAAACAAAATATGTCTGCCTGCGCCTTTTAGCAACAGGCAGTTCAAAAAATAAAATAATAATAACTTTCAAGCTGGGTTAAAGATGAATTTTTCACATCTTGATGTAACTTAATTAAAGACCAATGCTGCCTGTAGAAGTTGAAGTCAGCCTGCCAGCTGCCGCTGTTACACATTTGACCTGGCAAGAAGAAAGATAGTCACTTCATGTTTCATTGGCAGTAGATTTAACATGAATGATCTTCGTTCGTCTCAATCTAAGGAAATCCAGCTTGATTAATTGAACGTTACAGGTTTTGCCAAGAAGTTTCTGCTAGTTACTCTACTCTCAGAAGTATTCCTCATCTCAAATAAACAGCACAAAAGAAGTGAAATGGACTCGAGCCAACATCCATTACATGATATTTTCTTCTTGTTCGGAAAAGGGTAAGATCTTGTTAAGAAAGTTAAGGGAGCATGAATCATCTGCACTAAGACTTTAACCTGTAGTCTTTTCAATCAGGACAGTGCTGATAGGAACCAGAAGATCAACGTTTATCACTGGTCAGGTTCTGACTGCAACCAACTTTTAAGACAAAACTCACATCCAGCTTTGAACAACTGTGTCAGGAATTGTTAAATCTACTCACTGCACTCTATGAAACACTCTTGTTAATTTTCTAAATCCCCATTGCACACATACGCACACTGATACACACACATACACAGAAGATGTGGAAGGAGCATCGGCCCATTGCTCTGTCCAGTCCAGCGTGTCTGTGCCATGATGGCTGGAGATGATTGGCCCCCAGGCCGTGCACACTGCATAAACGCCACGCTACATGGTCACAAGCCGGCCACCAGGGATTAGAGGGACAGAAAGTCGAGTCTTACCGCCTGGTAAGGGGCAACAGCTATGTGTTCAAAGTACAGCAGCGTACAGGAACAGGAAGATGACAAATGACCAACAGTATTTTACAGAGGTGGAATTAATGTGGTGCACTTAAAGCTTCAGAGCAGTCACGGTCCATCAACAATGGTGAATGATTTTACCTAATCTGCCTAATTAAAGCTCTGACTACTCAG